AAAACTAAATCTTAAATAACTTAAAAACAATTTATTTTAGGTATAGGAACATGTATACTCAAAAAGTAACGAATTTGAAAACTGAGTTTCTATTTAAAAAAATGATTTATGATAATTTTTTAATTGCTCAATTCCATGACAGCTGTGGTCATTATTATATGACATTCGAACAATTTCATTTTTGAAATAGATATGGTCCATATATGGTAGCCATATGGTCTTCTCTTTATGGCATAGTGGTTGTGGTAATCACAAATTTTGACGTTTAGGCTATACACATATTTTTGACAGGCAATTTTTTTCATCCTAAAATTTTAAATATTTTTTTTTCTCGAAAATGGTTAATGTTACGTATACAGGGTTGTTCACCACATACGACACGGAGTAGTGTAGCTAAACGATTAGATTTTTACAAATTGTAAGTTTTGGATTCGTTGCAGGACTATTAGAGCTACAATTTAAAAATATTTTTACAAGATACAGAGTGTCCCAAATAAATAAAAAATATCAAAGTTGACATTTTATAGATGACACCCGTATTGTTTACTACATTTTAGTTTCTTACTGATCCCAAAATGAAGGTAAATTTAATTAAGGTTTATCACACTTAAACCTGACCGTTTTGAAGCTGTATCCCAATGAAATCAAATCACTTTGAAGGTCTTAGCTTCATTTCTCCAAGGTACCAAAGTTTTAATACTGAATATGAAATGCCAGGTTGCATTGATCAGTGTTCTCTGAAAGCAATAATAAAAATAATACTACCTAATACAGGAGTGTCTAAAAATTTAATTTTAAAATATTTTACCATTTAAACGGCAATCAATCTTTTAATTTCATAGTGGAGCAACCATACATACCTAGAAAACTTCTCTTACACAAATGAACCAATCCATCATATTGTATTTCCCCACTTTTTACCTATCCCTTCTAATAAATTTCATTGATAAAATGCATTTTCTTATAGGTACTAGACCTCATTTATCAATATACCCATGGAATATTGACATTTTAAATTGCTTTAAGCAACAAATGTATAAAATATACAGGTTAATCAATAATATTCATTTTTAGCAAAATGATTAGATTTAGGAGATTCCTTTGCACATTGTTGTTCCACAACAAGATCTATCGATTAAAATATTATTAACCCATTTCTATCCAAAAGAAAACTATTTAAATCTTGATAAAAAGTATACCATTAATTAAATATACCACCACCTTATTTCCATATTTAAATACTAATTAATTACATAGTTAATTATGTTCTGTTAATAAATTATTCTAAATAAATGTGAATTTGAATCAGAAATCAATATAATAATAAGTTATGAAAATGAATGTCTCTGTTGTTATAAATAAGCATTTGTCAAAAATGAAATATCATTTTAAGGTGTTACTTTTTACCACACTGTTTGCTAATACATACAAAAATTCAGTTTTTAGTATATTTCATAATTATTATTAATCAACGCAAACAATCAATTAGCCGTAGTTTGAATACTGGAATCATATTAATTGGTCCTCTAACAAATATTTAAACAGTTTCTTTTTATTTTACTAATGAAATAAACAAACTACATCGATAATATTAGTATCTGTACCATATCTGTACTCTTTAAAATTTAAGTACATCTTAAAAATAATCTAAAAATATCAGTATTCCATGGGTATATTGATAAATGAGTTTTAAATTTACAAGAAAATGCACTTTCTACCTGAAACTTGAAGAGATAGGTAAAAATGGTATAACACAATTTGATAGACAATTAAATTGTGCATCTGATTCTCATAAAATATACAAGTGTTCCATTTAAATTAAGCAAGTTATTTCGCCGTTTAAAGATATTAATTATTTAAAATAAAATTTTGGACACTCTGTATAAAGGTAATTATTTTTATTGCAGCACAATAACTGATCGATAAATAAACTTCAGTAAATATTTAGTATTAAAAACTTTGATACCCTGGGAGAAATGAATAGCTACCTTAAAATTTTGATTGCAATTTCAATAAAATTGAAAATATTTCAAAAAACGGTAAGGTTTATGTAATAAACCTTTATCAAAATTTACCTTTATTTTAATCGTAGAAACTAAAATGTAATAATGTGCAAGGGTGTTCCTTTTAAAAAACACATCTTTGATATTTTTATTAATCGCTAAAGTCCATAAGCTATGGTCATTATTATATGACATTCGAACAATTTCATTTTTTCAATAGATAGCCATATGTGTCTTCTCTTTATGGCATAGTTTGTGGTAATCACTAATTTAACGTTTAGGATAATCACTCATATCTTGTCGTTACCATCTATCAAAACTTACAATTTGTAAAAATCTAATCGTTTAGCTACAAAACTCCGTGTCGTATGTGGTGAACAACCCTGTAGAGTGTTAATATCAAAATTCAAAAAATTCTACAGAGAATTTAAATATGTAATAAAAAATGGGGCACCCGTTTAAAATAAGAAAGTTGCTGTCAACTTCCGGTATTTCCGGAAGTGTCACCATATTGAAAATCTTTTTAATAGATAGATCTCGTTGTGAAACAATGATGTGCAAAAAATCTCCGATCTAAATATTGTAGTTCTCTAGAAACTTCTAATGCACGCTCAGCCTGGGACACCCTGTATATTATTTCCTTATTTCTCTCAGATATAACTATACTGTGTTATTACTGTTATACTTATTACTGTTACGTGTGGTAAATAGAGTGGTCTCTAAGAAAATTTGGCCCTGACACCATTAGTGCCGATTCTTATTTAAAATGGTCACCCCCCGTTTTTGGAGCTGATCCCCTATTTTTACTAATTTTCGATAGTTTGGTGGCACGAAAAGGATTATTTTGGCCTCTACATTGTTATTTCCGAGTTACTAGAGATATTAGAGGCCTCCTGTCTACGTACTTCTTCCTCCTTTAGTTTTTATGATTCCTTTTATTACTGTGTAGGCCAGAGTCCAGTTTTTATCTCCTCCTTTCAGGTTATTCATCATAGTTTCTGCTGTAAAAGGAATGCTTATAATTATATAGTACTGATGTCTTAACCCAGATCATCTTGGACGTTCCGAACAAGGTATGTTAAGCATCATCTACCTCGTTACAGTATATACAGTGGTTTGTTGGTGATTTAGCCCGATTAAATAGATAATTTTTGAAACACCTATGGCCGGATAGGGTTTCTCTACCCATTCTGTAATATTAGGAATTAAACTATACGTCCACCTTCCATACTTGCCGTTGATCCATTCTTCTTGCCATTTTATGCATAGTTTAATTCTAGCTGCAGTTTTTAAAGTTCCTTGGTAGGTTTCAACTCGTTCTTGAACCAAGAGATGCATAAGAGACGAGACCTACCTCAAGGTATAAATGGCAAGCAAGCACTAAATAGAGGTAGAGATGCTAGGTATATAGGCACCTACACTAGGGTTAAGGGTATACCTAAGAGGATATACCTACGTATATCTTTTTCTTATAGTACCATCTTCTAATGAAGGTTGACAACAATCGCGGCGAAACACTGTCTGTCCTGTGCAGCCCGAAACAGTTCGTGTGAGTTCAGTCCAGTCCAGTCTCGTAAGTTTTTCAACCAAGAGTGCTTGCGTCTCCCAAGTCCTCTTCTGCCTTCTACCCTTCCCTCTATAATCAACTTCAGAAGCTTTGCTCTGCTACTGCGCATGACATGGCCCAGGTATGCTATCTTTCGTTTCTTTATATTTGCAATTAATTCCCTTTCCCTGTTAAGCCTTCCAAGAACCTCTTCATTGCGTACATGATCTGTCCAGGGTATTTTCAAGAGTCTTCTGTAGATCCACATTTCAAAAGCTTCCAACCGTCTCATGGTATTCATTTTAATCGTCCATGTCTCACATCCGTATAAGAGGATTGAGTATATATAACAATGGACACGTATATCTAAGAATGGGAAAGCAACCGAGTAATGAACACTCAAGAGATAGCAGTCTACACAGATGCTTCCGTAATTTCAGAAAACTGTGTTGGACTGCCGAGGAGCACTGTCCTGGCTGTGTCAAGGCGGGGCGACTCTATGCTGGGTGCCAGGCTACAGCAATGTAGTGGGCAATCAAGAAGCAGACAGACTCGCCAAAGAGGGGGCCAGGGGAGAGGCCGTGTCAGATGACCTACCACTTGTGACGATCAACACACTGAAGGAAGCTATAGGAACTACCATCAAGGCCAAGCAGCAAGAGACGTGGCAACACCGTGAGGACTGCGGTACAGCTCAAAGACTGTGGCCAGTGGTAAATAACAAAAAAAAAACAACAACTACAGCACAATAAGAACCTAGTACGTATAATTGTAGGTGTCACCAACTGCCCCACGGGGGTAAACCCCGTAAGATGGAAGATTTACAACGACGACTACTGCAGAGAATGCGGAGAGGAAGAAGAAACTATAGAGCACCTGCTGTGCCACTGTCCGTCACTGGAATACCGACGCTTTATAACTTTAGGGCAAGGAGTATTTTTGCCCTAAAGTTTAAAGCCTTAAAGATTTTTTTTGGAGAGACTAGAGGAAGCAGCAGAAGCCAACATCAGCGACATCGGAAACTTTGCAAAGAGCAGGAAATGGTTTAACGCAAAGAATGCATCAGAGGAAGGTTTGGTACATATACAGGGAAACTGCCAAACCCCAGCAACCTATCCTAAGCACCTACCCACGCCAAAAGTCTCGTAACAACTTTCTTTTTCATTCCTAACTTTGTTGTCGGTGCTTCTTTCCCCGTAAACAGCTCGCCATACTTTAACTGCTGCCCCCAAATGGGAAAAATATTTATTCCTCGATTCTTTATCTCTTACATCGGAGGAAGAACATCTGCTGTTAGAGGAAGATGGGAAATACCCAATACCCATATAAAACAGGAAAATCCCCATGTATGATGTGTTATAGACTATACAGTAAGTATTGAAGAAGGGAGGACACAACAAATCTCTAAGGTCGGTTTATTGTAGGTTTAAAATAAAGAAAAACTATTTCAAGACTGTAAACTTATATATTAACTAAAGGGTACTATTCACATTTTCTGCTAGACTACAAACATCTTTATGGTGCTGTGTTTTGCGGTTTATGGCTTTCATATAAATATCCAACTCATCTTCAGTACCTTCATCAGATTCTAACTTAGAGTCAGTAACTATTTCAGTGTTTTCTGTATCTTCACTCTCAAAATATTTATCTTCTTCATCATGATCCATTTCTATTGTATTGTTAAAGCTATAAATCAAGTAGGTATTGTAAAGTGGTTTGGTTTAAATAGTAGCAAGTAAAATTATTACCTAGTATCAGTATCGATAGTGTTGTAGTCAAAAAATTCTTCATCTTTACCGTTTAAGAAATTCTGGTACATTGTCGTGACGAATTCCTCTTTTAATAAAGATCGTTCTGAAGCGGTTATTGTTGGTAACCTTTTACGTTTCTTTTTCACCTTGAAAATAATATACTTCTTTCTAGATAAATTGTATACTAATTAAAACTTAATTAGACAGTAATTTTAATGTAATAGCACATGGATGGTAACAGAGGGTAAAATCATACTCTGAACAACTTATTCAGCTGTGACAGTTGTCACATACTACGTCAAAAATATTTTCATATCTTCTTCTGTCATTAAGCGATACCAAAGAATATTATAGGGTATTAAGATATTCTTTGGCGATACTCAACTGTTTCCACATAAACTTGTTGAAACATACACTGTATAACGGTGTTCCTACAGTGAAAATTTAACTATTGCTTTGGTTTAATGTACCGTATGATCCAAAAAAAAAGCGGCGTCTGTTGGCTTCGAAATGACGTTCAGTTTCACCTTCCCCATATAATTTTATATACAAAATAACAGCGACCTTCATTTCATAGGCATCTTTGACGTCGTTTTGTTTCCGATCATATTCTATAATAATGTAGTTAGCCAAAACAAATAAGTAAAAAGAAATTTGCTTAATAAATTGTATATGTAGTTGTCATCGTTTAACAGAAAATAAATACAAATATTAGTCTAATTTATGTATATACTACAAGTCGTTGTCCCATTTTCGTGTGTTTTATTTGTCTTCTTAGTTCCTAAAATACAGGGCAAATTTGAAGTGTTGTATATATCGACCCCCTTCGTATCTTGGTTATCTTTTAACGTATTGAAAAGGTGAAAACTGAGTACTTACCGTAGAGTTTTTCGCGTAGAGTAGAATCCAGTGGCGTAACTAGTTTTTCGCTGGGAGCCATCATTTCCGAAAAATGACTCAACCTTGTTTTTTTAATGGGATACCCTGTATATTTTTTTGTTTTATTTGCCTTTTTATGAGCTTTCTTAAAAGCGTTGGTGAAACGTGTTAAACTGCTAACTCCATTAGAGGCTTGGTGCATTTCAGTTGATTTCCAAAAATTCAGATCGTAGCATTGTATATGCCCGAAATCAGAAATTTTCGCTATGTATTTCACGCCGTCCCGGTTACAGTTCATATTGATCGCATTAAAATAAGATTGAAATCGTGAACTGGTTTGGTTTGGTTTGGTTAAATGTTTTAGGAACATCTTCATAATTATAATTATGTACCTTTAAAAAATTTCGTTATAGCCGAAATAGCCCTAATTATGACCCCACTAGCAAAACCGGTGAAAAAAGTTTTTATAGCTGGAATAATAAATTAAAATACAAGTTAGACTTTCTGAAGATATCATATTATTTACTTTTCTATTTTTAGAATTTTCACAAATTATACTTCATAACACTTTTAGAATAATTATATACTAAATTTTTTGTATACTCACTATTTAAACCCATGTATTTGTATATACCAGTTGTTTACGATATTCTCCGATGGTGGCAGCTCCGGCGGAGAATGCACCAAGCCTATTCCTAATTTTACAATAGAGAAAAGAAACGGTACAAAAGAATATGTACACATGTATCAAGTATATTCATGCGTTAATATGATAAAGAGATAACAATAATATTTGTTGGGGAACAATAAAATTCAATATTTTGTTAAAAATTTAACGTAAAAATTATGTATTAAACGTATTATTAAAATTTAGTTGCAGTCAAAAATGGAGCAGGTTAATATCTTCCACTGACGAAATATAATATACTCCAGCCGCCCCAATTTAAATCAGCCGCCTATGTTAAAAGTTAAATGATGTATTTTTATTTTGTTTATGGAAATAAATATTGTTAAAAACATATTTTGTTTATGGAAATAAATAAATAAATATATATATATATATATATATATATATATATATATATATATATATATATATATATATATATATATATATATATATATATATATATATATATATATATATATAATAAGTATAGCGTATATTACATTTTTAGACAGCTCATAACATGGCAAATGGTATAAAAAATAATACAGGGTGAGTTTCGTACGATGTTCTCCATGGCTATCTCGGAAACTACTGGAGATAGCAAGTCGGTTAAATAGGGAAATAATTGCAGTTTTGTGGGGTCATAAATATGCGCCTTTCAGATTTTTGTAAAAGTTCATGGTTTACTAGATATTTCGAAAAAAAAACAAATTTTAGCTATTTTAAAAAGTGTCCCTAATTCTATTATAATCTATTTTATACAAAAAATTCTGTCATTTTTGACATATAACACAAACATATGTTTTTTTTTAAATGGAAACCGTAGTTGGCTATGACTTCATAAAAAGCGCCATTTTTTAAGCTTTTCAGCGATATAAGCTATATGTTTTTTTTCTTAAAACTTGTTATAGCCAATTCTTATCTTTCATGACTAATTTCACTTAGCTGGCATGGTGTTCTTATTTTGTTATGATTTATAACTTATAAAAAGACAAAATATATTATTAAACGGCTCTTTACAATTTACATTACACGAACTAAAACTTAAAAAAATAATTAAAAAAATCCGCCATTGTTTTGAGTACATAAATGCATATTTTTAAAACTGAATTTCTAGCTATTCTCAAAGGACGACCGGTCAACTTAATTAAACTTCTCATGTACCGCCTCTTCGAGTGCCTCTCTTAATTCGTAAGTTCTTTTGTAAATCTTGTTGTTAACCATACCGCATAAAAATCTAAAATGGATAGGTCAGTGCACGTGTCATAATAAAACATGTTGGGAAGCACTCTATTAATGCGCGAGTCCCCAAATTTAATTTTTCTAACATGTCTTGAAAACCGTTCTCAAAAAAAACCGTAAACGTTCACCGGTCAACGTATCCTCGAAACTGTATCGCCAAGATAAGTTGAACCAATAATCCTACACGGTTTTCTTTATTTGAAAAATTCATATTTACAATTATTGTTTATTTTAATTTACAAAGTTTGGATGTGAGAGTTTCACATTTCTGAGAGCAACGACGATTGAACTTGTTTCCATGGCTAACTAAGTGAAATTAGTCACGATAGATAAGAATTGGCTATAACTCAGTAATTTTGTGAAAAAAAAACAAATTATAGCTTACATCGCTGAAAAGCTTAAAAAATTGCGCTTTTTAAGAAGTCATGGCCAACTATGGTTTCTATTTAAAAAAAATATGTTTGTGTCATATGTCAAAAATGACAGGCTTTAGAAAAAATCGGGGAACACAAACTCATTAGGGTTGTGATTATCTACAACTTTTATCTGAAAACTTTTTGTCTAAAATAGATTAAAACGGAATTAGGGACAATTTTTAAAATAGCCAAAATTTGTTTTTTTTTCGAAATATCTAGTAAGCCATGAACTTTTTCAAAAATCTGAAAGGCGCATACTTATGACCCCACAAAACTGCAATTCTTTCCCCATTTAACCGACTCTCTGTCTCCAGTACTTTCCGAGATACCCATAGAGAACATCGTAGGAAACTCACCCTGTATACAAAAATAATATATCCCATTATTATATTTCAAGAATGACAGCGCAGCGCCAACAAAAAACTAGTTACGCCACTGAATTCTACACAAAAAACTCTATGAAATTCAGTTTTCACTTTTTTCTAAGATAACTGGGATAAGAGGGGAGTCTAAAAATGCGATAATTTCAAATTTGCCCTGTATTTCAGTAACTAACAGGGCTAGGACAAATATGTGTGTAGGAATTTCAGTTTCATTATAAATAGCACAGTGATGTGAAAACCGCACCTTTATATCTCTACTCATAAACTAGAGAGACACTATAAAACCCACGAAAATGGGACACCCTGTACATGGTGGATCAAATTCGACGCTTTTAAATGGAAACACCCTTTTCTATAGGAGATAGACGAAAACTAATATCGGTGTCTGGAGCTCAATTTTCATCAAAAACATGATGGTGAAAACCGCACATCAATATCTGTTACCGCTTCGGAGTTACGGGGTGTTTTTCAAAAATGTGTATTTTTAACAAATCCCTGTAACTTTTTTGCTATGGAAAATTTTGTATTTCTATGAAAACATTTCCAAAGCACCTTTTTACGTAGAATTTAATGGTTTAAGTATAATTTTTTTTAAATTAATAATTTAAAAGTTATCAACAGAAAAATTGATTTTTTATTTGGGACACCCTCTATATTTTTAATTAACTGAAAAGAATTTAAAATTACCTTTCCAAAAATATAGCACACTTGATATTTTGTTATAATCCCTTTCGAAATACAGAATTTTTAAAAGTTCGCCACTTTTAACTAGTAGGCTTTGGACCCCTTATTGATGATGTGCCCTTAATGGAACTCGAAAACATATTTTTCCAGCAAGACGACGCACCGCCTCAGAACGCTAAAGTTATCAGCAAATTTTTGCAGCCAATTTCAAGAATAATTGAATAGCTAACCAAGATCCCAGCCGTTGGCCGTCGAGGCCGCCTGACTTAGTGCCTATGGATCTAATCCTATGGATATATTTGCGGAAGAATAACGGTTCCTTATTCTTCCGTATAATCTAGACAAGAATTAGAAATACTTAGGAGTGTATGAGAGGGTATCTTTCACCTCCACTAAGTTAATGAATTCTGCGAGAAATGTTCAAAACGGCCCCGTCTGTCCATAACAGAAGACGGTCGATATGTCGAACACCTGTAGCAAAATCTCATGTCTTGGTTTGCTATTTATTTTTATTGTTATTAGATATAGTTTAAATGTGTTGGTGTTGGTTAAATATATTTAAATTGTTATAAAATTCTGCATCTCTCATAGCAAATATTATTTTCGTTTTAATTGATGCTTACAGCTAGAATTTATTTGCATTACAGCTGGTGCCGCTCAAAGCCTACTTATTTAAAGCGGGCGAATTTTTATATACTCTATATCTCGAAGAGGAATCCAGCAAAATATCAAGTGTGTTATATTTTTGGAAAGGTAATTTTAAATTCTTTTCAATAAATTAAAAATATACAGGGTGTCCCATATAAAAAATCAAATTTTCTGTTGATAATTCTTAAATTATTAATTTTAAAAAGTTATACTTAAACGTTAAATTCTACGTAAAAAGGTGCTTTGGAAATGTTTTCATAAAAATACAAAATTTTTCATAGCAAAAAAGTTACAGCGATTTGTGAAAAATTCATATTTTTGAAAAACACCCCAAAGTCAACTTGATCATAAAATTTCTTCACTGAATGGCGAATGCGTGTATTATATTAAAAATTATTAATTATTATTTTGTTTTAATTATTATTCACGAGGGGTTTGTTTTTTCGAAAGTTAAGTAAACTACAATAGAATCTTTAAATTAAAAAAATCATGTGAATTTTTATTAACTGTCAGAAAATGTATAAAAAATATTAGATTAGGTAATATTATATTATTAAAAAAAAAATGAAAATTATAAATACCTATCACAAGCATATTTTCTACTACAGTGTTATTATAAAAGAAACATTTTTTTTTCTGTTTAACAATGACAATGATAAATAAGATCAAGTATTTGAGTATAAACATCTAAATACTATCTATTGTTTTCTGTCTTAAATAGATGTGAACATTAAGTTATTGAAATCCATTAAATTATTGAAGATCATTAAGTTATAGAAATCTCATTACCTACTTACTTTTTTTGATATTTCAGCTTTTTCATTTTCAAATTCACCCCATTTTGAGGTGGAAGCCTCATCATCTGAATCAGATGAGTTTAATGATGCTTCCCCTTCTTCCTCATCTGAAGAATCATCAATATTTTGGTTCTCTTGTGCTTGCTGTTCTTTTCTTGAAGACTCAGCTTCATTTCTGAAAATTAAAAAAAAATAAATATGGTTTTCCCCCAAAACTCAAAAAAATTAAGTTTTAACTACAAAAATGTCTTTTTACCTATCAATACCTTCCAATAATATTTTTACCAAAGTTACATTTTCATTTTCTAAAGATGTTAAGTAGGAATCCCTCTCCTTTATTTCATCCACACTTAAATATTGTCCCACTAATTGGTCATACAATAGAGGATTTCTTTTCATCATTTCTACCTCACTAAAGTATGCATTTTCTTCAATCATTCTTTGAAGCGCTGCATATCTGGAAAATTTACACATTGCTATTATAATAGAAAAACAGTTTTTGTAATAAAGAAAACATATTTTTTGTCACCTTCGATTTTTTACTTCCTTAGATCTTTCTTTGGAATCATTGAAAAGCAAGTCCTTTAAAACTATTGAAGTTTCTTCATAATTCACAGGATCAACATCTTTATTACTAAACTGTTCGAAATATTTTAAATCTTTAGTTGTCATATATTTGCCAAATTTCAATAAAAATGATGTTTTATTTTTCTCAAATAAATCTTGAGCTATTTGTTTTTTCTCGTCTTTGTTCAATTCGATTTCACCCCGTTGCTGACTTTTAAAAACAATATCATTGTTAGCTACTAAAGATGTAAAAATCCCTTGTAGTTGGGGTTCATCAAAATGAGGTTCTATATCTTCACCTTTATCAACTTCCATCCTAATTATCTTAAAACGAAACTAGATTAAATATATCGATATTTCTTAAATTAGTTTGTAAATTTAAAAATAATGCAAACTTACCCCTAATTTTCATTATAAAAGAACCATAAGTAAATGTATTTAAACTTTACAAATGTTTTTGATTTGTAAACACTCCTGCAATGTTTGCTGTCTGAATAAAACTAGAAAATCTATACCGTACACTTTCAAAGAACGTAACTTATTTATTTTTAATAGTAATTAAACTTTTCTCTTGAATATTTTAAGCGTTTTTTTAAACTATAATCTATACCCTTTAAATTCGTTTGATCTGAAAAATCAAAACAAGAAACCTAACCTAAAAAACGACTTACGATCTGTGGTTAACCAGTTTCACACTAGAAATGAGAATAGAGGTCGATAAATCATTTTTCGTCATCGGTACAATTTGATAATATCGATATCATATTTATTTTTATTTTTGTTGTAAAAGTTATAAATTCTTGGTATGTATGTCATCCACTGGGAGTTTTGGAATGATCAGAGAAATGGAATTTTCTTTTTGAGGGTTTTCCAAACCCCTGACCTGAAAATTCTTCCAGTACTGTTTCCGTCAATGCCCATTCTAGATGCATTTCTAGATGCATTCTAGTCATTGTCGCATTGGCAAACTACTAACTACTCTGTAACTACCGACGACAATGTGCAGTGGTATGAGATCTAGGATCTGCTATGACGCCCCAAAACAAATATACAAGACTATATACAGGGTGTTTCAGATTTTAATCGGGAAAATTTAATAGACGATAGAACTTGTAAAAATAAAACAAAAAGTTCATATCAACTTGTAAGATTTAAAGCTTCCTTTTCGAGATACAGGGTACCATTAGAATACCAATTATAATATTAATTACCAATTAGAATTTAATTTTTTTCGCAAGAAGTAAGCAAGATAGACAAAAAAGTCAGGAGACAAAAAAATAATATTTTTAATTACTAAATCCAAAAATGATATTAAACTTCTAAAAAAGCAGTGGCGTGCCTATTTTTTCCTCTAAAATAACTTAACAGTGATGCCCCACCGCCGCTCCTGGCCATTAAACTTAAGTCTAATTACATCAAATTAAGTCCCATAGTAATTATTATAAACGGGTCAAGTTATATTAAAATCGATTAAATAGTTTTTCAAATATCTTAAATTTTATTTCTTTTTTAAGTAACTTTAACACCCTGTATCTCGAAAAGGAAGCTTTAAATCTTACAAGTTGATATGAATTTTTTGTTTTATTTTTGCAAGTTCTATTGTCTATTAAATTTTCCCGATTAAAATCTGAGACACCCTGTATATACTGTTATATTTCTTACATCATACGATTATTTTTTTTCCTTTTACATACGAATCACCTTCATTACGTATAAAGAATCGTACTTCCTTGTCTAATGTGCATGAATAAAAAAAGGCAATCATCAAATTTATTGTATTACACGCCCAAGAACGGTAAACTAATAGGATTGCTCATCCTCATAAAGCCTAGTTCATGCACTTGCGAATTGCGAATTGCGATTTACGAATTGCGAAATGCGTCCTGTTTGCGTTCTGATTGGCTACCTCCAAGAAAGACCTTGAAAGCTACCAATTGCAAGGCAAAAGGAATGCATTTCGCAATTCGTAAATCGCATTTCGCAAGTGTATGAACTGGGCTTAAACGTACGTTCGCCTCTTCCCGCGCTTCAGCTGACAGTTGTGACGTCATTGTAGTCATTGTAGTCCTTGTCAAAGCCTTCGTGGCCTTGTCATGATAGTGTGTATTATTAGTTGCCTATGGTAAACTTATAAAAATAACAGCTGAGAAATTTGAGTTAATTATTTTGTCAATTTTAAATGTGAAAATGCGGAAAAAAGGTGTCTTTAAAGTTTTGGAGCTATAGAGCGAACACCATTGATTGATAATGATTGACGATCCGAGATGAAGACTTAATTGAGACCAACGACCATAGGATCATAATGATGCATGCATCTGGGTGTATTAATTTCTTTGGTCAGAATGAGTAGTCCCATTATTAACTGTTCCTTTGCTATATCGCCGAAATCAAACAAAAGAAATAAAGAATATTTTTTTTTGAAAAAATGCACAACGTTTGTTAAATTTTAACGACTCCGATAGTTAGTTTCCCGTAAATTTTGTGGGATTTTCTCTGTTTATTTAGTTATTTGTAATGAATTTGTGGTTTAAAATGCCGTCCCGTTTTAATGAAAAAGAACACCCTGGACAACTACCGAGTTAATATTTCTTTGTAAATCCAAATAGAAAATTTTCACGCGTTTTATAGAGAGCATCGGAGATCGGAGGCTTTAGGAATTTCACGCTCGACTGTTCAAAGAATAAGTTCCAGAGGAACTGTGAAAGATAGCTGCCAAGTCAATACCGTTTGTCCCCGGAATTCTGCTTATAAGATCCGGCGAACATATTTAATAGAGGGTCGCATTTATCTACTGTATACACTGCGGTGATAGCCAGGCCAACGGCTGGCTTTTTCTTAATATTTTGTTATTAAATCGGAGCATTGTTAGTTTACAACCAGAGATATTAACAACTCATGGACCAAGTAAAGAAATACGTGAAACCAATATGGCGCCGGAAATGATGACGAAAGTTTCAAACTTCGCAAATTGAACAGTATATTCCAAAGCTTTGTTCATATAGACGCGAATCGCGGGACCTATGGATCGGCGAACCAGTTCTTGGCCATCCAATTTAATGATCAGCAATAATGTAAACTGAAACGCGTACCGACAA